TTAACAATACAAGCAAATGTAACTAACAATACAAATGTATTAATAACAAAAATTAACAACAAAATGACTACTAGAGAACCCAACAAAAAATAAACCTGATGCATTGGGGACCAAAGTTTTTTGGACACAAGTGGTGATTGATAAATTGGATGGACATGGGGGAAGTAGAGAGAGGAAAAGACATTTGCCCTGTCTAGTGTAGTATTTCCTCTTTTTCTGGACCCAATGCTAGCACAGGACACCACTAGAGACAGACACAGAACATGCAACACAAAACACTGAACACAGACTTTGTTATGACACTATAACCATGGTATTTTATAACTCTTCAGCTGGTACCAGCTCTCCTGATGTTCTGGTTCAGAGCCTGAAAGATAGAAGCTTGGAAACAAATTAGCACAGTGCTTTCACCATGGCAGAATCTGCTTGGTCTCTGCCACAGTGTGTTTGGTACTTGGGGCTGCACAAATGCTAATTAGGTGGTGCATTTCTTGTGAGTGTAAATCCTCCCTTTTTCTCAGTAAAAGGGCGTTAACACTCCATCTAGAAAAAAATTTCTGTTTTAAAATCTCCAGCCATTTTGCCATGGCCTGGAGATCTGAGGCAGAAGCAGGCACTGTTGTTAACTGTTTTAATGGCATTTTGGCCCTGGGAGGAGGAATTTACCCAAATATTCAAAATATCCCCCTTCCCAATCTTCAGAGCGGTTCCAAAGGTCTGCCTCCTTCTGGGGTCTCAAATGTTTCTTCTCCTGATGTTACTGCTGCTGTAAGATTTGAGAGTGCTCTTTTAACTCTCTGTACCCAACCTGTTTTCCAGTTTTTCTATCTGTTGCTTGCCTGGGCCCGATCCTGCTTTTTTCAATAAACCGTTCCTTTCCATGGGCACAAACTTTGTTCCACTACCAATTTAGCAAGGGGGGTAGGCTTTCCAACTAGCCCCTACCCTTTCTGGTCCCATGGTCCCATTCCTTAAACATTTTCTTCAAAATTGTGAAATTACCACAATATTACTTACAAAAAAACAAAACAAACAAACATAAACCACACTACACTGCCCAAACTCCTATACCTTTCAGAGTTTGGTTTAACAGAACAAGATCTGTATCTTATGTTTTTAACCCACTCTGGGCCAGAGGGAGAGACGCTAAGCTTCCCTCTGTATTGCTCGGCCTTCTACCACTGAAGGTTCATACACCAAAAATAAAAACCCCTCCCAGGGGCAGAGCGAGAAACCCTAAGTTCTCCTCTTATGCTCAGGCATGCTACGGCCGAGGGTGTATGCACCTTTTCTTGAACATTTTTAAAAGCTTGTTCAAACTTTCCTGTTGCTCCTGATATCGTTCAGCGAGTGACACAGCCTAGATTCTGAAATCGTAGCTTATTAAATTTCCTCATCACACCTGACACCGGTCAGCGAGCGACACAGCCTAGATTCTGAAATCATACCTTATATTAGTTATTTTTCTGCTACCTATCCGGAGGCCAGCAGGTTTGGTTAACCAGATTGTATTATGCTAAGTTTACTTGGTGGTGTGCACACCAATGTTTACAATAACTGAGGCATTTTACCAATATTCCCCCTTTCACAATTCTCCACCAAAATGTTATACCAATAAAAACTAGCAGGATCTTATTAAAGGGGACAAGATAAAGATGCCACATTTATTATGATAACAATTTGATTTATGACCAATAACTAATATTTTAATCCTTATACACACACATTATATCTACAAAAAGAAGAACAGGAGGACTTGTGGCACCTTAGAGACTAACAAATTTATTAGAGCATAAGCTTTCGTGGACTACAGCCCACTTCTTCGGATGCATATAGAATGGAACATATATTGAGGAGATATATATACACACACATTATATCTAATACCTATACACACACACACACACACACACACACACATCCATCAGATGTTCTGCAGCTACTGCACAGTTACCAGTCCTGCTGGAGTCTGTGGCTTGAGTTTGCAGCTTGGGTTCGTAGCTTGTGGCAGCTAACTGGCCAGGAAAGCTGGGCACAAGGACGAGCTGGGTCTCTGTTGGGCATGCACCGATACCCTTCCATGTTGGTAGCAGAATGTTACCCTCCTCCAAAGTTTTTCATCTCACCCATCCTTTTTGTAGGCTTTAGTTTGAATCCAGAGTCTATAGGTCTTGCTGTGTCACACTGCCTCTGGGTTTGGTGATTGATCACCCGTCAATTGCAGACATGACTTTCAGCCTGGGATCTGGCTTTGATCTTCCTTCTATTGTACCTTTTCTTTTTAGGGTGGATTCTTCTTACTTTGTTAGGGCTTTTGTCTGCATCTTCAGCCGTTGATGTTTGAACTTTATTTAATCAGGACAGGCTGGGGCTGGAGGTTGATTCCATCATCCATACATACCTTATTCACACATCTAAACTAAACTAATAAGATTACAGCAGGGTTTGCAAAAATGAAGGTTGCAGCAAGCCCTTACAAAATGGAGTAAGCGTTTTAAAATGGGGTTTGAATTACAATATGGCAAACAGTGAACAGAAGTTACACTGTAGGCAAGTGTAATAAATGGTGAACAGAAGTTACAATACTGAAACAGTGCAAGTCTTAGTGATTTAAGCAGGAATTGGATTGATAGTGAAACTTACAAAGGCAGCTGACTAAACAGCTATGGCTCTTAACGAGCATCTTAACTATTAATTAGCCAGTTATTGGGGTAACCGGTTTTATGAATGAATATTGTTTCATTCATAAAACTTTACTTATGAAGTTACATTAATAAAGTAAACAATTAAAAACAATTTTATTTATCAGTCCTACACTGCCACAGAATTGTATACAGAGAACACAAGACGATATGCTAGGCAAATTCTCTGATGTCGGTTTAAAATATCTGAAAGGAGAATACCATATTAAGATAGACAACTCAGTGCTTCCAAATTCCAATGTAAAGTCAAAACTGAACTTGATAATGTGGAAGAGACGGGAGTTACTGAAAAGTAAAACAGACAGGCTGACTGTGTAGCGAATGAGTACATGGGTGGGGTGTGCCCCTTGGTTCGTCAGGGAAGGAAGTGGCTTATTTCCCTGGTCGGTGGTCTCAGTTACTCAGTTGGTATTGGCGTTGTCCTGTGATGTGTTCTGTATAAATGTCTCTTACTCTTTAACTCAGCCAATTGTATTCACATCAGGTGATATTTTTGAAGAACAGCCATTTGCATTGACACTCCTAACTAAACAAGGCAGAAAGAAAATATGCATATATGGTGTATATAATTTGTACGGTATCTTTGAGGACTTGTTTGCTGCACCTTGAAATAGAAACAAGTCCACCTTCCCTGCTACAGAGGCAGAAGGGAGTGCTACATTTCCCCTATCTCTCTCAATTTCTAAGTTATAACAGGTAGTACATTTTATTTAGTGTTTTCCTGCCCTTAGAATTTCCCATCTTTGCATGGTATAGTAGCAAATTCTGGTTATGGAATTCAGACAGCAGGTTTACTCTACACCAACTGTCCTCTCGCCCAGAAACAAGAAAGGGATTGGCTACCTCTACAATGTTGTTATATGATTATTCAATATGTATATTACAGTATCTATTTTAGAGTTTGTCCATCACCATAGTATCCCAGCACATGCCACCCCAAATTCACAGCAATAAAAAAATCTCTAATGGACTTCCTGGATTCTCTGGCTCTTTTAAAGATCATAACTAGAACTGCGATCCCACTGCGTTAGGTGCTGTACAGACACAAAGAGGCAGAATGAGAGAGAGAGTCAGTCGAGGCCTGGGCAAAAAGTTTGGAAGGGGATAGGGCTGAGGAGCCCACACTGGCTGTCCTTTGGGGCAGGCTCTTAAGGAGTCAAGACTAGTGAGAGGCCAGAGGCAGGCAATCCAAGAAGACTGGCTTATACGGGGCCTTCATGGGCTGAGGTCACAGCAGAGGTGGCAAGTTGTATGGGCCCATGGTACGCGGGCTCCAGCAACTTCAGGAATCGGGGGCCCAGCTCCAGCAATGTTTGGGGCCGGGTCTCTCCCCCGGCCCCGCCTGCTGCCCCCATACCCCACTTGCTGCCCCCATGCACCTCCCTCCCAAGTGTCCCTGCCTGCCCTAGGCAGCAGGTGGCTGCACCCTGCAGCCCCATGATGCGCTCCCTCACTGGCCGCTGCTGTGGCCCGCTACAAGGGAACCACGCAGCAGGCAGACTGAGGCAGCTGCTGCAGCTGCAGAGGGAGGAAGTGCATTGCAGCCCTGCCCTCAGCAGGCGACTTGGCTGGACCTCCTGAGCAGCAGCCTGGGGGGGCTTGGGTGAGTGTTATGCTGGAGCCCCCCTAAGCTCGCTGCTGCTGGCAGGGAGAGGGCTGGGGAGAGTCCTCCTCTCTAGCCCCACACTCCAGCCCCAGGGCAGCCTGCCTGCTGTGCCCCAAACTCCTCATTCCTGGCCCAGCCCCACACCTCCTCCTGCACCCCAACCCTCTGTCCCAGCCCAGAGCCCACACCCAGCACCCAGATCCCCTCCTGCACCCAGCACCCCAAACTCCAACCCTGTCCCAGCCCACAGCCCACATCCAAACTCCCTCCCAGAGCCCGCACCCCTCCTACGTCCAAACTCTCTCCCAGAGTCTGCACCAGCCTAGAACCTGCACCCAGCACCCAAACTTCCTCCCAGAGCCTGCACCCCAAACTCCCTCCTGCACCCAAATTCCCTCCCAGAGTCTTAGATGGGTGGGACTTGGACCCGTTCTGGCCACCACCAAAAATTATACAAACCTGCTGCCCCTTGGTCACAGGCCCACAAATGCCCGTATTAACATATATTTGCATATCTATTGGCCAGCGGCAGCGGAGCTGGCTGCTTTATAATAATTAGACATGCTCAGCAGGTGTCCCCGGGGCATAGACCCTCCAACCCCCCTCTCTCTCGGGGCAGAGCACTCCCCCACGTTTCCCTCTCCGGTCCCCTGCCCACACGCCGGCAGGAGGGGGCGGGTCTCATCGGCCGCTCTCTGCTCCCTCCCAGACCATCCGGTCGCGGGGCGGTGCAGTGCAGTGTAGCCGGGCGGCAGACGGACACAGGGGTGCCTGCGCTGCGCTGCGCTCCACTCCACCTACCCGGACCCGGACGCGGCTCTGAAGGTGAGGGGTTGACAGGGGAGCCGGCTGCCCCGGCCAGAGGGGATTGCCCCGCCCTCAGGGGCAAGTGGGGGGAACTGCCCGCCATGGTGCTCGGGGCGGGGTACTGCTCACCCCCAGGGGCGACTGCAGGGGGCCGCTGTCCCCCACGGGTGATGGCGATGGCGGGGCTTGCCCCCTCCCCAGCAATGCTGAAGACCGACAGCTTTCACTTTCGTTTCTTCTGCGCCTAGCGACCCTCCGTGGTCTCTGTACACCCGGGAACTGGGACTTCCTGCTTCCCGCCCCGTCTTGTCCGTGGACTGGGATCTGTATGTCTGCTTCCCCCGTCCCTAGCGTGCTCTGCAGTCTGTCAGAAGGGAAGGGACCCCATCACTCCCCTGTTAGTGAGAGAGGGAAAGTGCTTGATCTCTTTGCTTTGCCAGAAAGAAGACTGAGAGGCGAGTCATAAGTACCTTAACCAGGGAAAATAGCAGCTCAGAGGTACTAAAGGGCTCTTTCATTTAGTAAAGAAAGGTATAAATGGAAGCAATCTCTGGATGTTAACAAAAACAAAACCTTCAAATAAAAATGAGCCACATATTTTTAACATTGAGAGAAATTAACTGTTGGAACAAACTACCGAGGGAAGTAGTGGAGTCTCCATCTCTTGAGGTCTTCAGGTTGCCTATCTCAAATATATGTTTTAATCCCACTGAGAAGCATTCATGGGCAGAGGACTGTTCTCTTGGGATGGACTCACCCTGAGTCAGGAGGGAAATAGACTTCTGGGATGGAGGCTGGCATAACTGATTAAAAGAACTTTAAACTGAGAACTCAGGGGAAACAGTTGGGAGATGCTCACATAATCTCACTCCTGATTCTAATATTGACAGGGAGGAAAGTCAAGAAAGGGAGAATACAATAGTGGAGAAAGGAACAGCAGTGGATAGGAGAATAGACATTAAGCGGAAAGAAAGTGCCAATACAAATGAAGCTAGTAGGTAGGCTGTACTGGCAGTAGAATGACCATACCCAGTCAGGTGAGGAATCTGGCCAAAGCCAAGCAGAAACAACTAAGATGTTTGTATTGCAAGGAGCCCGGGTAACAAAATGCAGGAACTAGATCTACTGGTGCAGGAAGTGAAACCAGATATTATAGGTAGGGCCCTACCAAATTCGTTGACCATGAAAAATGCATCACAGACCGTGAAATCTGGTCTTTTGTGTGCTTTTACTCTGTACTATACAGATTTGATAGGGGGGACCAGTGTTTCTCAAATTGGGGGTCCTGACCTGTGATAAATAAAGGGGGGGATAGCTCCCTTTGATGAGCACCCATCCAGCCAGTTAGCTGTAAAATCCCTCTTGGTAACTGTTTTTACTTGCTTTACCTGTAAAGGGTTAAAAAGTCCCCCAGGTAAAGTGAAAAAAAAGTGGGCACCTGACCAAAAAAGCCAATGGGAAGGTAGAACTTTTTAAATATTGGGAAAGAAACTTTCCCTTTGTCTATTCTCTGGGCTGCAGGGACGGAGCAGCAATGCTGTAAGCAGGAGTGCTGTGTAAGGCTTGAACCAGATATGAAAATTCATCAGATCATACCTAGAATTACTTATTTGGAACCCCCCCAAATATGTAAGAAAATTAGGGCTGTTTAGCTAGACAAAATCAGGTTTATTTTCTTTATTTTGGCTTGTGGATCTCCTCTGTGCTAACTCCAGATGCTTTTGTTTGCTTGTAACCTTTAAGCTGGACCCCCAAGAAAACTATTTTGGGTGCTTGATTTTTGGAATTGCTCTTTTAAAATCTAGCAAAAGTTCGAGATGTATTTTCTTTCTTTTTGTGTTTAATAAAATTTACCTTTTTTAAGAACAGGATTGGATTGTTGGTGTCCTAAGAGGTTTGTGCATGTTGTTTAATTAGCTGGTAGCCACAGCTAATTTCCTTTGTTTTCTTTCTCAGTTCTTCCTGGGAGGAGGGGTGAAAGGGCCTGAGGGTACTCCACAGGGAGGAATTCCCAAGTGCTCTTTCCTGGATTCAAAAGGGTTTTTTTTTTGCATTTGGATGGTGGCAGCATTTACCAAGCCAAGGTCAGAGAAAAGCTGTAACCCTGGGATTTAATACAAGCCTGGAGTGGCAAGTATTAATTTTTTAAAATCCTTGCGGGCCCCATTTCTGCACTTGGAGTGACAGAGTTGGGATTTGGCCTTGACATGACCCAATACGGAGTTGTAGGGGGTAACAAGCTTATTTTAGGGGAGTCACAGTATTGCTACCCTTACTTCTGTGCTACCTTCAGAGCTGGGGGGCTGAAAAGTGGCAGCTATTGGTCAAGTGCCCAACCCTGAAGGGACTGTGAATTTGGTAGGGCCCTAATTCTAGGATAGCAGAAACATGGTGGAATAGTAGTCATAATTGGAGTATGAGAATTGAAGGGCATGTGCCGTTCAGGAAAAGCAGAAATAAAGATAAAGATGGTGGAGTAGCATTGTATATTAATGATGAGGTAGGCTGTAAAGAAATTAGAAGTGATGGAATGGATAAAACAGAGTCTGTCTGGGTCAAAATCACTTTGGGGAAGAAAGCTGCCAGAGGTTCCCCTAGGACAGTGCTTGGTGTATGTTATAGACCCCAGAATCTGATTTGGATATGCATGGAGACCTCTTTAATATTTTTAATGAAATAAATACTACTGGGAATTGTGTGATTATGGGAGACTTTAATTTTCCAGATTTAGACTAGAGGACAAGTGCTGCTAATAATAGTAGGGCCCAGATTTTCCTGGATGTGATAGCTTCCAGATTTCTTCACCAACTAGTTGCTGAATGAACAAGAGGTGATGCCATTTTTAGATTTGGTATTGGTGAGCAGTGAGGACCTCATAGAAGAGCTGGTTGTAGGAGACAACCTTGGTTTGAATGATTATGAGCTAATTCAGTTTAAACTAAATGGAATGATAAACAAAAATAGATCTGCAACTAAGTCCTTGATTTCAAAGGGTGAACTTTAAGGGTTCTATAGTCATATCGATTAAAAGAAAACAAGAAAAGAAGAAATGGGACTGCTAAACACTGAGGATGGGGTGGATAATCTAGGCATGGCCCAACATCTAAACAAATACTTTGCCTGAGTTTTTAATCAGGACAATGAAGAGCTTAGGTATAGTGGCAGGGTGGCTAATGGAAATGAGAATATAGAAATAGAAATTATCATATCCAAGGTGGAAATCAAACTCAACCAGCTTAATGGCACTAAATGGGGAGGCCTGATAATCGCCATCCAAGAATATTAAAGGAACTGGCACATGAAATTGCAAACCAATAGCAAGGATTTTTAATGAATCTGTAAACTCGGGGATTGTAACCTAAGAATGGAAAATTGCTAATATAGTACCTATTTTTAAGAGCGGAAAAGAAGTGGCAAACTACAGGCCTATTAGTTTGACCTCAATTATGTAAAAAGTCTTGGAACAATTTTGAAAGAAAAAGTAGTTAAGGACATAGAGGTAAACAGAAATTGGGATAAATATAACATGGCTTTACAAAAGGTAGATCATGTCAGACCAACCTGATTTCCTTCTTTGAGAAGATAACTGATTTTTTAAGACAAAAGAAATGCAGTAGATCTAATCTAACTGGATTTCAGTAAGGCATTTGACACAGTTCCAATGGGAAATTATTAGTTAAATTAAAGAAGATGGGATTAATATGAGAATTGAAAGATAGATAAATTAAAGGGGAGACTGCAGTGGGTCATATTGAAAGGTCAGCTGTCAGGTTGGAGGGAAATTACTAGTGGAGTTCCTTAGGGATCAGTCTTGGGACCTATCTTATTTAACATTTTTATTAATGAGCTTGACACAAAAAGTGGGAGTGTGTTAATAAAATTTGCAGATGACACAAAGTCACAGAGGAGGACCGGAGTATCATACAAGATTATCTGGTTGACCTTGACAACTGGAGTAATAGAAATGGGATGAAATGTAATAGTACAAGGTCATTGACTTGGGGACTAACCACAAGATTTGTTGCTATAAGATGGGGACTTGTCTGTTGGAAGTGACACCCAAAGTCTTTCTCCTTCTCTGTATTGGTTGATCACAGGATGACTATGAGCCACCAATGTGATGTGGTCGTGAAAAAGGCTAATACAGTCCTGGGATGCATCAGGTGAGGTATTTCCAGTAGAGATAAGGAAGTATTAGTACCATTATACAAGGCACTGGAGAGACCTCATCTGGAATACTATATGCAGTTTAAGAAAGATGAATTCAAACTGGAACAGGGGCAGAGAAGGGCTACTAGGATGATCTAAGGAATGGAAAACCTACCTTATGAGAGGAGACTCACAGAGTGTGGCTTGTTTATCTTAACCAAAAGAAGGCTATGGGGAGATGTGATTGCTGTCTACAAATACATCTAAGGGATAAATACCAGAGAGGGAGAGGAGTTATTTAAATTAAGCACCAATGTGGACACAAGAACAAATGGATATAAACTGGCCATCAACAAGTCTAGGCTTGAAATTAGACAAAGTTTCTAACCATCAGAGGAGTAAAGTTCTGGAACAGCATTCCAAGGAAAGTAGTGGGGGCAAAAAGCCTTACTTGTTTTAAGATGGAGCTTGATAAATTTTTGGAGGTGATGATATGATGAGACTGCCCACAATGGTATGTAGCCAATCTGCGACTGTTAGTATCTAATATCTCCAATGACCAGTGATGGGACACTAGCCGAAGAGGGCTCTGAGGTACTACAGAGAGTTCTTTCCCATGTGTCTGGCTGCTGGGTCTTGCCCACATGCTCAGTGTCTAATTGATTGCCATATTTAGGGTTGGGAAGAAATTTTCCCCCAGGTCAGATTGGCAGAGACCCTGAGGTTTTTTGCCTTCCTCTGCAGCATAGGTCACAGGTCACTTGCAGGTTTAAACTAGCATAAATGATGGATTTTCTGTAATTTGACATATTTAAATCATGATGTGAAGCCTTCAGTAACTCAGCCAGAGGTCATGAGTCTATTACAGG